CCCCGCCTCCCTCTGCACTGGCAGCGGCACTGCTGCTTCCCAGGTCTGCTGATCTCCATCACCAGAGATCTGCCGTTCCCGCTCCCGAGCGTGTCCTTGGCACCGGCAGCAGCATCCTTCCTCCCTTCTGCTGTGCCTCAGAGCTGTGGCCAGCACGGCACAGCCCTCTGCAGTGAGCCCTGGGGCTGCTGGCCCTGCCCCGTGGCAGCAGTGGCATCTCTCCCTTCTCCTGCCCCTGCATCCCTTCCATCCTCCCGGCACGTCAGGCCCACGGGCTGGCACTGCGGAGCCTCGTGCTCTGCGCCGCTCCATGCTGGTCGGGTCCTTCCGCTGCCTGCTGTCTTCCAACACCCACCAGCGTCTTCCTCACTTGTACTCCCCATTTCCAACCATTCGCCCGTGCTATCCCTGTTTTCTGCCTGCTGCCCCTTCCTGCCTCCCTTCTGCTCCTTTCCTCATTGGTTTCGCTGTCCGTGCAGGGGATACATTGAGGTCTCATTGCTGGGGACGGGCAGTGTGGGTGCAGGATGGATCCCAGCGCCTCGACATTCCTAGCCCTTACTTGGCTTCTGCTCCTTATGCCCCATGCCCCAAGCCCTGGGCAGAGAATGGTGCAGGATGAGATCCCGACACCCCCAGTCCTTGCTTGGCCCCTGCTTCCCCATGCTCCAAGCCTTGGGCAGAGAGTGGTGCAGGATGAGCCCCCATCACCCCCAGCCCTTGCTTAGCCTCTGCTCCTCATATCCCATGCCCTGAGCCCTAAGCAGAGAGCGGTGCAGGATGAGACCCCAACACCCCCAGCTCTTGCTTGGTCTCTGCTCCTCAAGCCCCATGCCCCGAGCCCTGGGCAGAGAGTGGTGCAGGATGCTGCCCACGCTGCCCTGGGCTCTCAGCGCTGCAGTGCTGCAGAGCCAAACAGCCCTGCCCGGGCTCAGCGGACACTGGGCATGGACAAGAGAGGCCAAGGCCTCTTTGTTGTCCTCTGTGGAGGAGATTGTTGGCTGCTGGGATGGGTTTTATGGTGTCTGTGTGGTCAGCCATGCCCTGGATGGGAAAGACCTGGGTTTCCCGCAAGACTCATTGGAAAGGAAAGCTGTCCTCAATAACAGCCTTGGGCAGGGCAATGCGTGGGGCTGGGGCTGAGCTGGGGTCTGGGCAGAACAGGCAGGATGAGCTAGGTTAGACCAGGCAGAAGGTGCTGGTTGGCATCAGGATGAAGTGTGGGACCCTGCAGAAAGCTGGAGGTGCTCTGTCCGCCGCCGCTGAGAGTGGCTCCATGGGTGCTGGGACTCTGCTGTGCCATGGAACACAGTACCAGCCATGCCCTGCAACACGGGCAGTGAAACTGGGCAGGTTCTGCAGGCTCTTGGTGTCCCAGGGATGGTGGATGTCCTTGGGATGGGCTGGGAGTGGCGCCCGTGCCGGGGTGGCTACGCTGATCAATGGATCACCTTGGAGCGCGGAAGGGACTGGAAATGTGGGGAGATACTGCAAAGCACAGCCCAACCCTGGTGTCCCCCTCACCCTGGTTGTGCCAGGCTTGGTTCCCCCATTCCTACAGCATGTGGCATGTGCAGGCACAGTGTGAGGGTGTAGCCGTGGGCACAAAGGTGCCTTGTACCGCTGCCCATCCCCTTTGCCTGCTCCCACAACCTCTCCGTGCCTTGCACGTCTGGCCCTGCTGCCAGCAAACCCAAAACTGCTTTGAGAGAGCTGCAGGGTAGAAAATTACAGCCACAAAGCAAATTTGAGGCTGGGGTGTGCTGCACTCTGAGTGTCCGGAGGCAATTGGGGTATAAAATGTGTATTAACCCCCCAAAAAATGCTTCAGTCTGATTTTCTTCCTTTTCTTAGACCTCCCAGTGCCTTGCTCTTTCCTGAAAGATTTGTACCAAGAAGTTTTGAGCTTCTATTTTTTGTATTCCTTTCAGTCATTTTAGTGCCTGGGAAATAGGAGGCAAAGGGAATGGCTATTCCAAGGGAAATCCCCAATTCGGCACCGCAGCCATTGCCAAATGCAGCGAACGCCAAAACTTACATTTGTTCTATACAGGGGTGAAAATTTACAGGATGTGGAAGATTTTTCCTTTGGAGCACTGGAAAGAAAAAAAAATTGTCTGAAATTGTCAAATTGCTTTAGAACAAGGAGAGAGGAAAAGTTATTTTCCATAATATGAAGATAGTGTTGGGAGCCTAAAATATTTACGTGGAGTCGCAGAGGTGAAAATATTCAAGCAGATGTTTTACATGATGCCACGAGTTGAAGTTAAATAATCAAATAGGAAATATCTGGTTGTATTGAAAGAAAATTGGATGAGGAGAAATTACCACATTTAGGGCTTGGCTGGGGGGTAAAAAAAATGGGATTTCTGGCTAAAAAAAGAAAGGACACTTCGAGTGCTGCCGATGGGGTCTGATCCCGCCGGGGTGATGCTCCAGCTCTGGCCGTGAGGACAGCAACCTTCCCATCACAGCACTGACCCACGGGTGAGCTTGGCTGGGAGTTTGGTGGGGATGTGGTGAAGCCCCAAGGAGGAGCTGGGGACATCTGCCCCAGCGTTTCGGGGCGCGGAGGAGCGGCTGAGGCAGAGAGCGGGTGATGAGGACGGGGCGATGCACGGCGAGCGCACAGGGAGGACGCAGAGCTGCTGCCACGGGGCTGCTCCACTTCTCCTCACCCCGTGGAGCCAGGGATGGAGAGATTTTATTCCTCCATCGACAGTGATGGGGTGAGGGACAGCCCCAGGGACCTTGGGCGGCCCCAGCCGCTTGCTGCACTGCACTGCTGAACGAGGGGCTGGGGAAAGGGTTGTGGCCATGTCCCTCGCTAATCTCTCGTTGTAATCTCATTAATTGCCCCTCTGCCCAAACAGAAAAAAAGGGGAAAACTCATCTGCACATTCATTCAGTGCTACTTTCCTACCCCTCTGCGGCAATGCCGAAGTCAGGGCTGCGGGAGAGGCAAAGCGCTGAAAGGCAGAGGAAATCGCCTTTCCCGTTGGAAAAAGGCTGTGAGGGTTCATGTTCCTCCCTGAGAATAGAGAACCAGAGGGGTGAGGCATCCAGATTTCAGGGATGAGGTATGGACAAGCATTAGTCTAAATCAGGAAGGTGATTCGGGCTATGTTTGCTCAAAAAAAATCAAATCGTTTTCGGCGGATTTAATTTTTTTGATTGGTCTCAAAAATGCTGCTAAAAAGCAAATGTCTGCATGATTTTAGGGAGGTTCGGGAGGATGTGTTTGTGGTGTTATCTTCATTTCAATCCTTCTTGGATTAATAGATGATAAAACTTCTGGAAAAATCGAACCCAAAAACGAGCAGAAAAATCACACGGCAGCACACGAAACTCAGAGCGTTTTCCCTTCCCCTGGAATTCTTGTCGCCTGAAATCGCCAGGGGTTTGTTTCCAGCCACAATGAATGGCCACCCATTTTGGGGACGCTGGAAATGGATTTGATGAAACCAAATTTAAGCACAACTGAAACCCCAATGAATCACTCCAGGCAGGGAGAAATTCCCTATTTTTTCGATTGCCGAGAAACGCTCAGCAAAAGCTTTTCCCAAAAAGCAAAACAACCACCCAGTGATGAAACTCAGCCCCAGAAGATGCTCAGGGAGGGAGGGATGGAGGGAGACACATCCTACTGGGGATGGCAGGACTGGGTTTGCTGGAGACATCGTGACACCTCTGCTCTTTGTTGCGCTCGGTGCCGCGTTCTGCCCGTCCCTGCAGCCCTCGGTGCTGCCTTTCTCTCCGGGGGCACATCCATTCATATGATAACTCTATTCAGACCCTGACAGTTTTTGCTGTCTCCCACCCCAGCCTGTTTGCATGGCCAACACTCCAAATGATTCCTCTGCTACGGAGAAGTGATTAACCCCTTCGGCCCTGCTCGTTCCAAAGTCAGCGGCAGAAACAAACCCTCCCCATGTCCTGCCTGTGTCGATGTGCAGCTCTGGAGGTCATAAATAACCACATCAAGGATGGAACTCCTTAATGGAGCCGATCCAGGCACACCACTAGAGCCTAATGAAGTGTGTTTGGCCCAGGGATAGCAATCAGAAAGGTGTTTGGGAAGCTGCAGAAGGACTCTTGGTTAGGACCTGCAGGGATAGGACAAGGGACAATGGGTACAAACTGAAAGAAGAAATTTAGATTAGAATTAGGCAGAAGTTTTCCCTGTGAGGGTGGTGAGACACTGTCCCAGGTTGCCCAGGGAGGCTGTGGCTGCCCCAACCCTGGCAGTGTTCACAGCCAGGTTGGCTAAAGCCTTGAGCAACCTGCTCTGGTGGGAGGTGTCCCTGCCCAGGGCAGGGGGGTGGGGCC